CCGGCCTTTTGAAGTCAATTGGTTGCATATTTTGATTGGGAGAGATGGAAGCTGGTTGACGTGCATAAGACTTGCATCCCAAGAAAATAAGAAATGCTTGCAAGATTCTTCATATGATATATATGACTGAGGACCAAAAGAAGATGCTGAATTGTTTGATCATTATTGCCAACGAGTAAGATGTCGACTACAAAAACTAGAATGTAGAGAAACTACCAATTTATTGTGATAATTCAGTAAAAATGTCAGTTGTACTGTGAATGAACCCATATTAGATTAAATATGTGGAAAATGTCTCAAACCTTTATTTCGGTGATTATTTTAAACCATATATAAATTTTTATAATAAATAAACATAGTCTTCGTGTAGTGAATCTTTGAGTCAAGCAGGTTGAGATATGTAAACTGTATCACTAAGATGTCCATGAAGAAAAGCATTAGACACATTAGGTTGAAGCACCTTACACTTAAAAGTAATATCAACCACAAGCAAAATGCATATAGTTGAAAGTTTAGCTACCAGACTAAAGTGTGAAGATAATCCAAACCATATTGTTGATTGCAACCTTGTGCAATCAAATAAGCCTTATGTCTTGCAATAGTGCCATTAGAATTGAGTTTAGTTTTAAAGATCTATTTGCATCCCAAAATATTTTACGTCGGGCTAGGTGGTACCAACTTCCAAGTGCCTTGTTTTTGAAGAACGACATTGCTTGGAGCCAAACTAAGTTTTTGATAGCCTTAGTATAGCAGGTTGGATCTGAAGGAACAATAGAAGAGTTCATATTGATAATATGTTTGGGTTTAAGTGTCCCAATATGAAGCCTTATAACCATTGGGTGAATGGATTGACTTTGAGGTGAAGCGAATACAATAGGTGGCATGGGAGCGGAAGTAGAAATTGGAGAAGGAATAGACTGTGAGAGTGATGGAGGAGAATTAGATGATCGGGAATAATGGCATTGTCGGGTGGAGGAGGGGAGATGATATCTTTATCAGGCAAGGTAGGTGTGTGAGGTGACAATGGTTGAGTAAATAATGCAACAAGCATTAACAATGGAGTGTATGACGGAGGAGATGGCTATTGGGATGAGTGAATATGTAGTTATGACTGCTATGAAAGAGGAAAAACATTTTTAATAAACTTGACATGATGAGAGGTGAATATCTTACCTTAATCAATGTGAAAGCATTGGTATCCTTTAGTGGTGGAGTCATAGCCAATACAAACACAGGGTAAAGATTTGGAATGAGATTTAGCTATAAAAATAGGAGGTAGAAAGGGATAACAAAAGACAACCAAATATCTTGAAAAATGAGTAAACATGATCCTTGTGATAGAGCAATTTAATAGAGATGAGAATTTTTTGGAAAGAGGAGGTAGCCTACTTATCAAATAGACTATTGTAAGAATAGCGTGCACCCAAAAATAATGAGGTAACTTTTCTTCAAGAAGCAAGGCATGGGTAGCTTCAAGAATATGACAATGTTTGCGCTCAGCAACACCATTTTTTATGGGGTATATGTGCAAGTAATCAAATGAAGAACTCAACATTGAGAAAGAAAGGATTGAAAGGATTTGGAAGATTATTTTCCACCGCCATCTGAATGCAAACATTTTATATTTTTATTGAATTGTTTTTTAACCAATAATTTAAACTAATAAAAGGTGCAATCAACATCTAATTTAGCTTTTAAAGGATAAACTATGAAATTTTAGAAAAATCATCGATAAATAACATGTAGTATTTTAAACCATTTAAATATAACGTGGCATAAGGACCCCAAACATAACTATGTATCATTTCTAAGACATGACTCGATCTAGAAGATGAAGAAGAAAAAGGCAACTTGTGACTCTTAGAAATAGCACAAGTGTTACAATGATAATTTCTAAATATAGATAAGGTTGGAGAGTCGGCATATTTCGATAATTTGAGAAGAACTGATGAGGCGGGTGACTTAGATGACGATGCCATAGTTGAGTAGAGGAATAAATTGCTAAAAAGGTGGAGAGAGATGTGCGACGATTTGGATCAATATTGATTGGGTAGAGTCCTCAACGAGATGGACCATAAAGGAGAGTTTGGTTACTCATCAGGTCTTTGATATGGTAGCCACGCGAATAAAAAATTATAGAAAAAGAATTATTAGCAGCAAGGCAGCTGAGAGAAAGACAATTTTGAGTTGGCATCACATTTAACTATTGATTGGCTGATGAGTAGGAACAAGATGAAGAGTGGTAGGAGTTGAGATCAAGATAAATGTGATGCCAACTCAAAATTTTGAGTTGGCATCACATTTAACTACATTGGCTGATGAGTAACCAAATTTTGAGTTTTCATCTTCTATTCCTGTGGTAGGAGTTGCGAACACCTACCATAGACCAAGAAGATGAAGCTGTTCAACATGGTATCAGTGTGCTTCTTCTAAATTTGATTGGCATATTGGGCACGTCTTGTGTGAAACAAACCATAAATCAATGCAAATTGGGTGGAATGCATGTCGGCATATTGTCAATAGTCAGATAACATCGGCATTGGCTAACTTCGATAGGCACACGATGCATTCTCCTCTGTTTCTTCCCTCCATAAATCTCCACATCTCAGCATACGGAAACATTGGAAAAGAAGCAATGATCGTTGGATCTATCACAGCCACAGTGCTTTGAAGCGGCAATGTGCCGTCGCGACTGCCACTGCAGCGAAAGAACAGTGGACCGAGGAAAGGAGTTGAAGGAGGTTTCGAAAAAGTAAGACGAGGAGGATGAGGAAGATGATGAAGAGTAGGACTAAGAAGGGGAAGAAAGGGATTGAGGAGCTATTGGCTACTTCATTTGCAGTGTATGGAAGTGTGAGGGAGAAATTATCAACTGCATTGGATACTGGCATCAATAGGAAAGCTTAAATTTATATTATAGAGATAATGTAGCTGCTTATAGAACGTCTAAGCTTACAGGACTCTTGTATTGTGAATTATCTTTGAGGAATAATATAAGCTTCTTGAATGGCTGCACAGCAGGACAGAGGGAGAAGGGAGAGCACTTAAAATTTTTGGAGAGAAAACAAAACAAATCTTTATTCTTTTCCCCTCAAACACCTCCACCAAGGCTCTGATACCAATTGTTAAGAATTGTTGTCTTGGAGGAAGAGATCTTGAATGGAAGAAAAGTGGGAGCTAGAAAAGGAGAGAGCTCACAAATCTTTATTGATTTGTTCTTTATGATTCAATCCATTAACAAGTATCATAGCTTCTATTTATAGACCCAGATTATACATATAGCTATGCAAAAAAATAACTAAATGAAAAATAGTAAAAAGACTGAAACCAACATATAAAATTGGACCAAATATTAACAGCTTCTTTATTTGTCCATGTAGCCAATACTTGTACATCCAAAGATGGAAAAGCCTAACAACAGAGAAAAGGGAGCAATAGAAAATTCTTTGTATATGTCTATTTGTAAAATCATGTCATCAATTTTCTACATCTTACCTACTTTCTATATCACCTGTAACCCCCCACTTTCTCCTTTACTAAAAATGCAGTAACAAACTAAAATTTTGAAAATAACATGGAATAAAAAAATAGGTAAAAGGCGCATATATATTTAGATAAGTTGTGCAGTAGTGGGACTATAAAAGTGGTTGTGTATGCCACATCAGGCCTTCTAAAGAGCTCAACTCCGCCCAAGATGCAGTAGTAAGAGTGTGGTCGGGAGGATTTATTATTCTGTGCGGAGTGCGGAGAGCGTCCGGATATAAATAAAAAAGTGCCACGTCACTTCATTGGTGGGTACCCAGCTCACTACCCACACTCGGTACCGCTGGGTATCACTGGATACCCAGTGCTTAACCCGATGGTTCTCCCGTCTAGTGTTCGTACAGAATAAAAGCTCCGTCAAGAGGGTGATATGAGTAGATATCTGTAATATTGAAGGTTGAAGAAGTATTGCAATTAGGTGGCAGAGCTACCGTATAATTTCAGACATTTATGTTATTCTGTATTACTTTCAAACTTTTAGTTTATTACTGCATTTTTAAGCAATTGGGAAGTTACAGGTGATATATAAAGTTGGTAAGATGTAAAAGATCGATGACATGGTTTTACAGATAGACATATACAAAGAATTTTCTGTTGGCACAATTTAACGGTAGAAATATAAACTGTAGTGAATTTTAAAAAGAATAGCATGCACTGATTCAAAATATTAAGTCTAAATTTGGATGCCATAAAACTGTCGAATAAATGGTGGCAAAATTCATCCTTGAATTCCTACTTGAAGGAATTTAGCTTAGATTGTACACAAGTATTGAGAAACTATAAATATTATTTTATATATCCGACTTCTTTAGAAAATATATGCAGAAATTAATTACCCGTCTAATGCAAGATGCTGCATGCGATCTTGTTTTTACAATGGGATTGACATTATTATACATCAATTGCAACTTAACATAATATTTATAGTCAAATCCATACTATATATTTGCATTCGTTAACTCTACATAATTATTGCTATGGTTCATTTACTTACCGGTGAGCGCTTCAATTCCAATGGATTCAAAATTTAATTCAAATATTTTTTTTAACAGGTGAGTGATTGAATTCGATTCATCGTAATTCTCAAAAAAAAAAAAAAATAATAATAATGTGGTAGCTAGGCATTTGAACTCGAATTTATGCTCCGTAGAAGTAAAAAAATGCAGTTGAAAGACAACTTTCCTCTCTAAGCTTTATAAGAAATTATTTTAGCAATCAAATAAATAATATTTAAGTTTGGATAGTATGAGCAAACTAATACAGATGAATCAATTAATCATTTCTGGGAAGAAAATTTATCAAATTAATACAGATATATTAACTAATCATTATTACAGTCATGCAATTAATTGCATCATTATAGACTATAGAGTATGCAAACTGTATCATACAAGAAGATTTTTAATAACTGTTCAGAAAGCTAATTTTCTCTATACAGTGATACTCGTTCCAAAATTCTACTCCACCTCGCCCCCTTCCATCGCTATCGTGTTCCCCATCCCCTCCCTTTCTTCACCTTCCGCCGATTCTCCTATCCCTTTAATGCTAATAACATGAATATCTTCATCGCTGCCACTAGCAACAACCACGCCCATCGCCGTCATAGCGGCCATGTCCGGCGCTTCCTCCTGATTTGACCGGCATATGGGGCACGTCTTGTGAGAAACAAACCAGAAATCAATGCAACCAGGGTGGAACGCATGATGACATGCAGTCAACAGCCGGATAACATCACCGGCGGCGAACTCTAATAGGCACACGTACGGCACACTCTCCTCCATTTCTCCCCTCCATAAACCTCCTCACCTCAGAGTAGTAAAACATCGGAAAAGAAGCAATGATCGTCGGATATAACCCAGCTTCATTGCTCTGTTGCGACAACGCGCTGCCGCCATTGCCAGAGACATATCTGCGGACCGATGAAAGGAGTTGAAGGAGGTCTCGGAAAAATATGATGAGGAGGATGAGGAAGCCGATGAAGAGGAGGATTAAGAAGGGGAAGAACGGGATTGAGGAGGAGTTATTGGCTGCTTCCATCGGTGGTGTGTGAAAAGTGTTAGGGAGAAATGGTGTAGACGAACCTGCAAGAAGGTGAAACAGAGAGGATATTAGAAAAGCTAAACAAGTAAAAAGGTATGAAAAGTACTATGATACTAAATATATCATTAAGATAGCGGAACTCCAACTCTATAACAGAAATGGTGCGTATTGAGGGTAAGTTGCTCTTCGTTATCTAAGAAAAGATACTCCGCATCAAGAAATCATTGCTGCATAGAGATAATGTAGTTGCTTACAGTACGTCTCAGCTTACAGGATGCTTCTGTTGTGGATTATCTTGGAGGTGTTAATGTACCTGGGTGTTGATTCCTGGATACCTGAGTCCGGTTTCTTCCATCCTTCCTTTTATCTCTGCCTTGTAATTTTGGCTTTGTTCAATTTTCTTTTGGTGGTTGGGTATAGGATTTTTCCTTACAAATTTTGTAATTTCTGATCATTAATATAAGGGCTAACGCCCAAAAATTTCCCAAAAAAAAAAAAAAATGTGGACACATCAGCTTAGTCTGTTAACTGGTCACAACATATTTCTTGATTCTTGTCTTTGTATCTCTATAGCTGTTGGGCTATATATAGCTCACGGGTCCTTTATCTCAGTGATTTGATATCAATTCTATTTTCTTTCTTTCTTCTTGCCTGATACTTTATCATGGTATCAGAGCCGCATCTAGCCTAGCTGCTTCTAGTCATCTTCCTCATGGCCGATCAAGACTCCATCACCTCTACTCAAGAAATTTCGAACATCTCAACTTCGCTCGAAGAAATCATCTAGCCTAGCGGCTTCTAGTCATCTTCGCTCGAAGAAACAAGTACCACTACCTGCTTTCTCGCCACGTCCGCCATTGATCATAAGCTATGGAAACTCATTGATCGGAATCTCATCTCCGCGCTTCTCTCCACCATATCTGCCTCGGTGATCCCCTACGTCATCACGCTCACTACTGCGAACGAGATCTGGACAACTCTCGAAATTCGATTGCAACCCACTAACCGTTCTCGAGTTATCCAACTCAAGAACGAACTTCACCAAGTTCAAATGAAAGATCACTCCATGCAATAGTATTTAGCTCAAATCAAGAACCTCGTTGACAACATAACAGCTGCAGGATCCACAATAGACACCGAAGACATAATCATATACATCTTGAATTGTCTTCCGCCAAGCTACAATTCCTTCAAGACCGCTATTCTTAATTAACATACTAAGAAGAGTACCACTAGCAGACCAAAGCCTGAATTTTAAATTTAATATTTTTGGGCTAATTCAAAATTAAAATGATAATTCAATGAAATTTATTTTTTTTAAGCAGATGAGTATTGGAATTCATCCTATCAGAATTCTCCCCAAAAAAAATAAAAAAAAAAGTTACGCATTTGAACTTCAGCTAAAGGCAACTCTTTCTCACGAAGCTTTATAAGAAATTATTTTAGCACTCAAATAAATAATATTTAAGTTAGGATAGTATGAGCAAACTAATACAGATAAATAGATTAATTATTTATAGGAAGAAAATTTATTAAATAAATACAGATATATTAACTAATCATTATTACGGTCATGCAATTAAATCCACCAGTATAGACTATGGTGTGCAAACTGTATCATACAAGAAGCTTTTTGAATAAAAGCTGTTTAGAGAAAGCTAATCCTACTGTTCTATCGACCAAAGCCCTATAGAGTAAGATTTCCTATCTAGGAAAAAATAAAGAATTGTTAAAAAAATATTTTATTCAAAATTTAATTTGATAAATTTTGAAGCAATTGATCACTTTGAAATTGATTTGATATATTAGTAACAAATTAATTTTTTTCTATATTAATTTATGTCAAAGTGAATTTAACGACTTAAAATTCATTATAAGTAAATTTTTAGTCAGCTGTAGCCTACAATAATAACGGTGATAGACTATTTTAAATCATATATAAACAATTGCGTGGTAGTGTAAATAAGTATTATATGTCGTCACACGAAAATTTCATCTTATCTTAAGATTGGACACACATGCCATTTTTTTCTTATGCTTCAAATTTTACACTCGATGCCTGTGATTACTCAGATAATTTCTCGTTAATCTCAATTTACCAAATGACACGAGATTGTTGGCCTGTAATTTAGGGTGTCAATATTGGACCCACTCGGAAAATTCGATCCGAACCCGATTAAAAAATTTCTTGTTTGGTTTGACCTTTTCGGGTTCAGGTTTTAACAATTCGACCTGTTTTAAAAATCGGGTTGGTTTGGGTTGACCCGTTGACCTGAAATTTACCGTTTTGACCCGGCAACCCAAGATTGACCTGTTTTGACACGAAAAGCAGAGATTGATCTATTTTTGGAGACGAAAACTAGCAATTTTTTTAGTCAACCCGATAACTTGTTTTTGACCCGCACCCAAAGCGGGCATAGTTCGGGTCCAGAAAATCGGCCCGTTTACAAATAATGGGTCGGGTTCAGGTTGACCTGAATAGTGTCGGGCTAGTTTTAGGTTCAACCCGAACCCAACCCTTGACCTGAAATTGACACCCCTAACCTGTATCCTTGACTGTTATTAGTTTTTTTCCAAGGACTCCAATTAAAATAGGTCATGTTGCATGTACATTGTCTATGTATAATTATGATACATAATATGTATATACGACATTACTTATTTTAATTGGAATCCGGATGCAAATTCGCTACCGATCTATGGCCTATTATATATTGTGAAAATAATGTAGAGAGAAAATTAGTGATCCTTCCTTCTCTATGAAATTGGGATTGGCATTTAATCACCTTCATATGATGTACTGGTAATTCATGTGACAATATATAATATTACATAACTTCAGAAGATATAGTATTACTTGCACTATCATGCAACAGTTTATGAATGATTTAAAATAGTCTACACTACTGTTAGAATTGTAATTTGAGTAACAGTTAAAGCCGACTATATATTTTAGTGCTGAATATATAGGAAAGAATATATTAAAAGAAAATAATTCGGTGAGGATATCCTGGCCAACAAAAAACTTAGTTCTAATGAGTTTTAAGTCATTAAATTAACTTTGACATACAACTCATCGTAATTTGTTGGTTGAGAGTTTAGGCTAGCAACTAAAAGATCTTGAGTTCGAGTCTTGTGCATACGTTGTGTGTGTGAGCCTGCCTTAATTGGCCTAATGATATGTTTGAGAGGAAAGCAAAAAAAAAAAAAGCTGTAAAAAATAGAGAGGGAAAATTTAAAAAAAAGGAGAAAAAATGAGAAAAAAGAGAAGAAAGAAAAAAAGAAAAAAAAAAAAGAAAAAAGAAGAAAGTATTTTATGTAATCCACACATTTTTGTGCATTTCCAATCATCGCTATTGTCATTGCCTCATTGGACAGGTATAAAATTCTCTAAACTAAATATTACTCTAAGCATTCGAGGCGTACCGAAAAATCTTCCTTCTCCTCCAACTCCAGTCCTAAGGTAACTGAGATTTTCACGTGAGGGGTTCAGTTATTTTCAATCTTATTAATTGCGATTGAAGAAAACCCATCTAGGGATTTGATCTCGCAGGAGGTCGGAGTCAGCGGTGAGCGAGAACAGGAATCCTAGGTCAGATTCGGCTTCCATCGATGAAGAGGATCGAAGAGTCTGCAGAAAAACTTGCTTGTATGATAACTCATCTCCTTCGTTTCCATAATATTTGAAGAAATTATCCATAAAAAAAATCTTTTTTTATGTTATTTTCATCTTTCAATCCATCTTTCTGAGATAAAAAAATGTTTGTTTGTGCAGTTGCTGAGCCCTGGAGCATAGCTGACGGAAGTTCAGGAAAGGTAAGCTATTTGCGCCAGGATTTAGTTAACGATAATTCTTAGGAAAAAATGGACTGATAGAAATTCTTATACTTTCAATTTTATTTCCATTATTTATGCAGAGGAGGAGAGGGTTGAAAGCTATGTTCCTGAAAAACGATTCAGAATGAGTAGGAAATAGAATGAAAAATTGGAAATTTGAAGGAAATATGGTGTTTATTTTGTTGGAGGGGATGGATTTTGAGGATCTGTTCTGTAAAATTATTTTCTTTTGTTTTGATTGATATAGTTCTTACTCAGATTTGTAAGTTTTTTTTTAACGTCTTTTATTATTTTAATCATTTTCTGGCGAGTTCTGCTTGGTGAGGATCAGAACTTTGGTGAGGATTCTTCTTCTTCTGTATCGATTTTTTTTTTTTTTAATTATAGTTTTTTGTGGTGGTTAAAACCGTCACAATATAACAAATCTACCCCAGAGATCTTAAACCGCCATGGAAGATCTTTGCAGCGGAGAGAAAATACGACGGTTTTCTAGCGGTTTTAGAACTGCTACAAGAAATTTAGTAGTGGTTATAACCGCCGGGAAAGCTTAAATTTAGTGTTGCAAAAACCTTTTTTTTTTTGTAGTGGGTGCAGCGTCTACAGCGAGGCGTGTAGGCCCTGTACATACTCTTGTAGCATGGCGGGAACACTTCTAAGTACCCTTATGTGCTCGCGTAGGGTGGAGAGGGAAAGAATTGCGTATTTCAAACAGGTGCCTCAAAGACCCATATACGCCTCTCTGATGTGGTGGGATTGAAGTTTTACAGCTGTGGTTTCATCTGACACCTACCGTAGGTGCTTTTCTCTAGCATGACGGGAGGTTCATACTCCTATAGTATCCCCTAAATAGGGGAGACGTCGGGAAGCTGCCAAAATTTTTTGTGAACCGAAGAACATGAATTTGGATGATGGTAGGGGATTTAATATTGAACAAACAAAATCAAACTAAACTTGAACTTGAACAATTCGAACAGGGGACTTGTAAAAATTAATTTGAACACAAAAGAACTGCAAGGAACAAGACATGTGATCTAATAACAAGGAAATAAACATTAAATTAAAGGATACACAATTAAGCTAGAAAAGCAAATAATGCATTGAAATCTCATTTATCTAATTGATCATAATGATTAAATGAAGGGAAATGGTAAGAAAACATTAACGAATAAGAAAGAGATTTGAATTGAATAAGATCTAAAGCATGATTTGGTTAGAGGCAATAATTAACAGTAAATAAGAAAATGATACAATCTTGTTGCAAGTAAATGTGCCATGATGCCCCAACAACTGTTGCAAATCATATGACAATGATAATGATTAGTTGTGTAATACTTGTATCAATCTTGCAAGCAGTTACACCGGATAATCGAAGGAACTCGCACTGCATATAGTGATTTGTCTATTAGTGGTGAAGTGATGTGCATGTTAACAACAACAAGCAACAACCACCTGTGGGCCACAAGAAATCCTTAGAATGTATTTGACAGTTTGTTTGTAAATGGAGATGAATGATGTGCAAGTGAATGTATCACTTTACTAACTAGTGTACACAAAGAAATTTGTTCGACTATAACCAATCATAACTTGCATATGAAGGCAAAATCTCGTATATAAATAATAATAATACTTCCTATAGGTATTCAGAGGAAGGTTTCAATGAAGACAAATGAAATGTTCGATGTATTAACACGCTCACGAGTGAAACACAGGAGGCATGCAGCAAATATGAAAACTCCTTTATAAGATTCAACTTACAAGAGAGCATGTCAAATCTCTATGAGATTCTCAACAAGCGTAGACAGGGAAATTACAATGAATCTAATAACACCCCTGCATTGAGCATCATTTAGCTTGCAAAAAAATACACTAGTTCACTTGCAAATAATGGCAGTGGATAAATTCTACATACATCAATCTCTTATGAACATAAAGCTAGCACACAAGTGAATGTAGCAACTTGCCAATCAGTGCGATGAAACATTCGACAAGCACACATAGCGCAGAGTATGATGAATATTACAATGACATTTAAATCAATGTCAACATGCTTGCAAATATATATAGAATTCGCCTACGAATAACAAGCCAACATATGATGAATGCCACAATGCTCTACATTCGACATCAAAATATGAACACATGCATTCAAGCCCGCAAGTAATGAAAATTCAGGAGAAATTTGCAGTTTGACTGTAGGCAAATATGCAGGTGTCTCTAGCGAATGATGACAACTAATCTGTAGTGTTCATACAAGTCAAGCAAGTAAACATAAAAGCCCTACATCTAGCTTCAACAAACATATTGCAAGGATGACCAATCTCAGTGAGCATAGATGAGGTGATGAATATTGCAACACCCTTATAGTCAACATCAATTAAACAATGTAGCCTCTTATAAATTTGCCTAGTGGAGCGCACAATGAATGTAAATTCTCTCTACTGAAGGCAAAAGGTTCTTTATAAAGATTTAGTATACGTATAATAATATACTTGTGGGTGGTGATCGGTATTAGGAAGAGAATATTGTATTGCTCCTATAGTCATCATCCATCCAGGGGAAGGCAAGTATGTAGATCCCTTGCAAGCAAAAGGTGATCGATTTGCAATAAATTCAAATGCCTACGGGCCCTTGTAAGAGACTCGTTATACATACAAAAAATCATCCACAAACAAAATGCCAAAGAACTGCGACAAATGCAATTGTCTATAACATAACAGGAGATTCATTAGTGCACACTAATCTACCTGCAAGAAGCAACAAGTAGTGCACAACAGTTAACTTATATGAAACGAGCAAATGTCTTTAATATGACTCCACGACACCATATCCACAATATCATTACAAGCATATAAAAGGCGTTTACAAATTCCCCAAATAAAATCCAGCGTTATGCCACTAGATCTCATGCAACATTCATGCAAGAAGATAGAAGATGTTTATAGGCTTCTACAGAAAATGTTGTACACATCCAAATGTCGATCATTCAAACATTTGATCAGCACCAATAATTTCAAGAAAATATCCCCACACATACACAAAAACATATATAAATATAAATATAAAAATACCCCCTAAATACCTGCTTAGACTCCGAAGAGCATGTTGTAGGCACACACGTGATGTTTAAGGATGTTGTGTGGGTCAATAAGAGAAATCAAATTTGAATCTGATCCTCTGTCAGCAATTAGACAGATTCGATAATGTTTAAAAGATAATCACAAACATACCCCCAAACACTCCTATGGGCCCCGAGAAGCATGTTGTATTATGTTGTATTTATACACATGACGTCTGATGATATTGCATGGGTCAATTATAAATGACCCATGTTCGAGCCCGATAATTCTATACGGGAAGATAAGAGTCGACACTGCTCGAACTATCAAACACATATACTATCGCAATACTGATCGGGATATTTATTTCATAGCTCACATTAGGCCTTCAAGGCCTTCAACAAGAAAGATTTATTAATAAAAATATGATGCCTATAGTGAACCCGAGCCTCTGTCGGTAAATTGGCAGAATCAATAAGGTTCAATCAACAAAATGAAACTCCCCATAAGTACCATGATGATAACCGTGTTGATAGAAAATCTTAACTTGAGGAGTTAATTCCAATATTCAATGCCACCAAAATGCCCATAAAATTCAAAACTTCAAAAATATCAAACTAGAAATCAACCATTAAATGCTTAAAGCATAATCCATCAACCCTCCACAATAATTTATAGAGGTGGACAAATTTAAAAATATACTTCAGTTCAAAAAGAGCTAATGTTTGGTCGACAATATCACTAGGATTCATTCTCAAATAGACTTATGTTAGTAAGTGACACTTACCCTATAATTGGTGATTTTATCACCAGATGGAAGCATAGGTAAATGGTTATGATCAGTGCCCTCTGAATCGAGTGTTTTTTTCACCAAATGGCACCATTAAATTACTGTTATATCCAGTGCACTTATGCTTCCCAATGACATCAAATTTTTGAGATAAAAATCAATAGGATATGATCGATAAGGCACAAAGCCCTTTGTTAGCTAAGGTGCACTCAAATTTGTCTCCTTAGAGAAATATTCACTCCAGGTCTACAAGGTTTCCTTGGACGTCACAACACATGGCCGCTGGCAAGGATCCTTCTATCAGGTTGGGTCGGCTACCTCCTCTGACTAAGTAGACTAGGAAGAACGATGACCCGAGATGACGGAATAATAGAATCATGATTGGGTCCATGATCCATTCCCTCACCATCCGCTTTAAGTGCAAGATGGTGAAAATTTTAATTTTAAACATCAAATCTTCAAATACATGAATCCATGCTGCTACTATATGCCAGATACATATATTTCTACGTATCTAATTGATGACTAGCCTTAATTGAAAGTTCTCTCTCTCTCTCTCTCTCTCTCTCTCTCTCTCTCTCTCTCTCTCTCTCTCTCGTGATCGGGAGGGGTAATTTACCATATATACTATAAGAAACCATAACTCAGATCATAAAGTCCATGCAAATGAGGACAATTTCTCTGGGTTGTGTCTTATATATAATCTCAATCGACAGTCTAAAAATTTATCAGGGAACATAATCCCTTAAAACTCCCCCGAAAGGTGGAGGAGAACGGGGCGCGAATTCTCAGAGCTCACAATAGAACTTCATTTATTATATAATATGAAAATATATGATGAAAACTTGAACAAATACTATAAACCTTACAGTTAACTAATATTTGGAATTATTATCATCAATTTTCAGAAACTTCAAGTGGTCAAAATGCATAGCAAAATATAAGGGGAAAAAATAGCAAAAACACTATAGAAATCATCAAAAGCATTTGTCTAAGGAATTTGCTGAGTGTTAACATGATTTACCACGTACCTACTAGAAGATTGTTTAAAAGACAAGAAAGTTTTTTAATCAAATTCAAAAACTAAGGATGAGAGATCCAACGAACCTAAAATGATTAGGACAAAGAATAAAGGAAAACAAACAAGTTGACAGTTGCATAAATGAGCAGAAATCCTGGAAAAATAAACTAGCAGTGCATCATCTTTGTAGCTTGTAAAAACTAACAATTATCAGACTTTTTACATCTAATTCAATTTTTATATGGGAAATTTGTGATACAGGAGGGTGTTTGAGATTGAGATGGAAGTATGTGTGATGGAATTTGTTTCTTTTTAGATAGAGGAAAGGCTATAGAGACTTGCAGGCAATACCTAGGAGAAAATCCCTACTCTCAAACACTGTGATCGGAATTTTAAATAGGCTAAGTATATTTCGCCTAGATAGATCTAGGAGATGATTAGTA